GCTGAGCTAAGACATTGTTGTATCGGGTGGATGCCGCCGTAGTGGAATGGCTACCCGAGCTCAAGGCGTGGTTTGGTTTCCCGTTCTGGTAGGCGGCGTAATGGTTCACCGACATGGAGCTTCCGGCTACTGCTCCTGCTCTGTACTGAGCCGCCGCCCAGAACTGTTGCTGGTTGTGGGCAGCGGCTGGGAACGGACCTTGAAGATACGGAGGAAGTTGCGGTTGCCTCTGAAAAAGGAAGAAATCTCGTTTCGTTACGCAGCTCGAGCTACTTAACACGTACTGGAAGCGAAACCTGGACCAGTTTCGATGATCTGATTCGGTTCGGTTCTGTCGTTAAGCAGTGAAAAATACAGGGGACAGGGCAAGAACCTGATTGGTGATGGGTGCAGACGGAAACCGGCTAATGTAAGCTGAAGATACATGGCTAGTTTCTTGTTGTGGCATTGAGAATGTCCTCACCCCATGATGATGATGATGATGCGGAATTGAATTCAAAGGAGGAAAATGAGACTGGATTACTGATGTGGATGTGGATGTTGATGCCAACCCATTTGTCGCATCATTACCCATGATGTTAGAATCTCCAGCCGATGACAGAGACAAGAAATCATAGCTCTGCCATTACAAGAGAAGAAAGAAAAAGATTCATCAGACCACGAGAGAGAGAGAGAGAGAGGGGAAACCCGAACCGGAACAGCAAATGTTGCAGAGCTTTTACCTGATTCGGAGTCATGTCTCGGGCAAGTTTCGTTTTCTGGGTCCTGCCATTATCGAGCGGATGCACGTTCGGGTACCTACGAACAGATACTTCAGAAGGTATTGGCTCGTTCTGGTGAAGGGCTCGAGGGCTCGTGCTGGCTTGTAAGACCCGGATGAGGCGGGAAATGTAAATGTGAGAGGCGCATCTCTTCAACTTCTTCGGCTGCACTCTCAAAGGGTCGCTCCGAAATGAAGCTTTCTTGGAAGGAGAAGAAGCTGAACCAGACATCCATGGCGGAACCTTTACAGCTGAAGGCCTGATAGGATATATCTACGTCTCAGAGAAGAAGAAAAAAAACAGAGCATACACAAAAAAAAGTACTGAGCAGATTGTTTCGGGAGAAGAGCTACTTGGAAAGAAGATGAGCTCCGGGATTGATCGTTGAAGATAAGCCAGGCCAAAGCGCTAGACCTTATAAAAGCAACACAAAGAAGAACAAGACACCATTTTCGATATTATTACAGATTTCCCTCATGTCAGAAAACACGAAAGCAAAGCCCGGCAATCGTTCGCATTACCGCAGCTGTTCTTACTGCCCGTATCACTTGCCGTGAGCTTTGTCCCGATAGCTTTCATCTAAGAAGTTAAATAAAATCATTGGTCAGCCGAATCATTACCCGAAAAAAAGACCATCAAGGAAAGATAGCTCACATTGTTTGGTATCGTGCTTACTGCAAGTGCAATGTCAATCTTCATTTCAGTTGCTTCAGTTACGTTTACCGAGCCTTGTTTCAATCTGCCGAGGAAATCTAGGGTTCTGGAAACACACGAACAAGGGAAAAAGCATATCAGAGTGCAACAAAAAAGCTTCAAAAAACGAGATGGGCGAAGAGTTCGGTACAAACCCAGTTGAGCTGCTAAAAATCTCGGCTTGCCTAACTGGCATTTCACCATTTTGCTTAGCCTCAGCTGAAGACATGACAGAAACCGCCTTTCCACGAGATTCGCCAATTGTAGGTTCAGCCTCAGGGACTAAGATCGGGTCTACTTCAGCTGCTTGAACCACACACGCACACAAACCAATCAAATCAAGCCGGCTATCGAACAACCAAGAGAAGTAAAAAACCGAAATCGAATCAAGAAGTCAGAAGAAATAAAACAGTTGAACAAGAAAACCTTTGATTGTCTCGGGCTTAGCCTCTTTCTTATCGGGCAAGGCATCTTCCGATCTACTGGTCCTATCAGCGGATTCAGTCCCGGGAAACATTTCCGCTAACGTGAACAATGTCTCCACGACTTCTTCCTCATCTTTGGAGATCGGGTCAGTAACAATTTTCGATTCCTAACCATAAAAAGCCCGACCAACTAAACCATTAACTCAAAAGGATCTAAAAAGATGTTCAATTCTGCAGATTTTTAGATCTGGAAAACAATAGAAACCGAAGAACAACCAACCATATCGAGTCTCTCCTTCTTTACGCAGCCCTTTGGCGATTCAACTCCGGTCTTGAACATGTTGAGTTTCTTCGAAGCTCTAGAAACAGAATCCAGTTTCCGTTTCTTCATGGCTGCAATTGAAAGTAGACGAAAACAATGAAACTTCAATGGATTCATCAAAGAACATGACATGAACAACTTGATATATAGTGAAAAGGAAAGGGAAATAGAGAAGAGTGCCAGATTCATCACAGGTATCTCTCCCCTAGGAAAAGTAAGTACCCGAATAGACAAACACAACCTTAAAGAACAATCTTTTTTGTTCTTTTATAAAAAAAAATCACTTTAAATCTTTTTTTTTTTTGCAAAGAAAAAACATAAAAGACAAGTCACAGACTCAACAGAATCTTGCTTCCACAAAAAGAAAGGGGAAAAAGCAAAAGAGTTTGCTTGAAAAGTAATCCAGAAATCGCAGAGATTCAAAACGAAAACCACAAACTTCCCAACAACTGAAACTGGATTCTACTGACACTAGCAGATAAACCCAGATGATTCATATGAAAAGAAAAAAAATCGAAACTTTTTTTGAAATTTTGTTCCTTTTTTTTTATTTTCTCAGAAAATTCTCTGCTTTTTTCAGTCACGAAAACCGCACCTGAACGCAGCTTCCGCGGTACAGAGGCATGAACCACGCCATTGGTGTCCTTGAAATTCTGAGAAAATAAATTCATACAGAGAAGAAAAAAAGCATAATTAGCAAAAAAGGGAAAGATGCCGGAAAAAATGAGAGGAAAATTAGGGGAAACGATTTGATTAATTAGTGCTTTGGTTTGCTGAAGAAGAACTTACCCTTTTCGGAAGCTTAGATTTCTTCGACGAAGCTTCAATCTCGAAGCCCATATCTTGCTGATGACGAACTTCCTGGCTCGTATTCACCTCACCATTAAAACCCATTTTCTTAAAGATTCCTCCTTTCTTCGATTTTCCGGGAACCCCAGAGATTAACCCTTCAAAAAATCACAAACCCAGAAAAAAAAAAGGGATAAAACCCTGAAGGAGAGAGAAACCAGAGATATGGACACATACACAACACGACAAAACACAGAAGTTGTGGGATCTTTTTTTTTCCTCTCCCGAGATTTTATTTCTGTTGGTTTGTGGAATCGAATTTAAATGTTTACCAGATTTCTTCTTGGAGAATCGATTGGTTCCACGCCTCACATCTCGACGGCCCTTGTCCATTTCCGAAGAAGGGTTTTCAGTGTTTGTCTTCTCTCTCACCATCCAAAAAAAGAAAAGGGCGAAGAACTGTCTGTATAATATCTTGAAGAAATCTCACTTCCGCAACTCTGCGAAATCTCTGCTGAATCTCAAACTTGGTTAGATTATGCCGAGAAAAAGCTTAAGATGAATTTCTTTTTTAAAAAAGAAAAAGCGAGGAAAGTGAAATCGTTTCTCGTGTCTCGGAGAATCAGGTTCTTCGTGAAAGAGAAGAAAGAGAAAAGAAACAAGAAAATAAAAAAGCTGCGCTGCAAAAAGAGCTCAAAGGAAGTAAAATCAAAAGAAGGGTGTTAAAAAGGACAGTATTTCAACCCGTGAAGAACATAGATCACTGATTTTTCCTCCAGGAATTTCAAAAATTAAAATTTCAAATTGCAAATATAATATAAATACAGAAACTTCATTAATGGAGTCACAGTTCTGCAATCTAATCGGAAACTCATATGTAACTGACACAAAAGAACATTAAAAAAATGGGATCTTTTTTTTTCTGTTCTAGAATCTCATCCACACGTCAAAAGCAAAAAAAAAAAGTTGAAAAAAAAAACCCAGAAGCAATTTGACGCTTCGATATCAGCATAACGAAATCACTTCGAAATACACCCAAAAGACCCAACATTTCAGAGAATAAACAAAAAAAAAAAACACGACAAAAGATGTAAGAAGATCAAAACCTTGGTCTCTTCGATATCAGCATAACGAAATCACTTGAATCTCTCTCTTCTCTCTCACTCTCTCTCTCTCTCAAAGTTTCCACGTTCCGAAAAGACGGAAAATCCGAAGCTGTTGTCGCTCCGCCCGATCGCTTTTATAAATGTAAGCACAAACAAAACGCTTTATCTCTCTCTCTCTCTCCCCCTTTGGTAAAACGATCGACGGCCAGAAATGAAAGAGAAACCACAGCCGTTGGATTGATCGTGAGAGTGCCACGTAGCGTTATATTAAGTCGTGGTGTCTGCCACGTCGGCACCAGGCGTTGAGAAAGTTCTCCGTACTTCATGGGTTCCCTATGATCTCTTAAATTCCATACAAGTAGAAGTAGTGATTCACTCGTAAATTTTTTCTGAAAGAATTTCTACCAAAAACGTTAACCTAGATTTCTTATATACACCACCCGTTAATAAATCGTGTTAATGAGAGGTATCCGATATGTAATTATATTTCAATTAAAAACCAATTTAATACAAATAGTTAAAAAAACAATATAAAAGGTTTTAAAAAATTATTTTCATCGATTTGTTAAATATTTTGTGTTTATACAATATCATGGTGATTTTAATAACATTTACTACGTCACTTTAAAAATCTTTATATCAAAATAATAAATATTTTAAATACAATTTTAAATTCTCTAATTAATTCGTGACTCGTTGGCAATAGTTCATAAATACGTTTATATATATATATATATATATATATATATATATATATATATATCCCACGGAAAACTACCATACTAATTGTTAACGGGTTAGAGACTTTTGTATCGGTTGGGCCTTGTAAATAGTTTGATGCGTATTTATGGGCCATGAATTAAAGAGACATTTTTATTTGCATTTAGGGAGAAAAGGTTGAAAGCCTTACGAAATAATTACCGAACATACCCCTCAAATTTAGGCCCAAAAGATGTAAGACTAGGCCCATTAAGGTCATATTTTTCTTTTGTTACTTTTTTTTTTGTTGAAGAAAAGGAAAGGTGCCATAAATTAAAATAATGCCCGAGACCACAGCGAGTTAAACTTTGTAATCAAGCAAATAAAAATTTAGAATCTGCAAAATGATCTTAGCATTGAACAATTTAAACGCAAACAATTTTATTATAAAGCAACAAAAAATATTACAGATTCGTTAAATACACTCTTTTTCAAACGCAGAAGACACAAGTGATAATTCACCGCGTTTATTAATCAAATTCGTTTATGTATACCAAAGTGTGTATATATATATATACATATCACGAAACTGGTGACGAACGACGTACGTATCGTATGAAAACGCAGATGCTGGCGTTTGGGGATCGGCGATTGGGAATTGTTGTTTCTAAGGGCGTTTGGAGATTGGCGATCGCCGATTCTTAAGGGCACTTGCGGCGACCACCGTGGGTGGTGAGGGAGGCATAACACTTGCACTTCTCGTAGTTTCCGGCCGTGCCAGGCGGGACGCAGTTGCAACGCGTGCAACACGTCCCGCATGCACGGTTGCACAGTCGAGGTCTGCTCGATAGTTTGCAACGTGCTTCACACGCGCTTCCGCAATCTATATATATATATATGTAAACCGAATTTTGAATCAGTATTCCCAATACAATAACTCGAAATATACGCACGTATAAGATGAGTGGATAGGGTAAATAATTGCAAATTACCAATTTTCTCTGTTTGGCCATCTTGATGTTTTGCCTTTGCCTGGATGTAAGAAACATGAAGTGTTGTGTCATCGACAAATACCATAGTAGTCTTTTTTTATATGCACACGTGGAATTTGACCTAAATTTAAGAGAGCATTTTTTTAATTATATTAATCATAAAAACAATAAAATATTTATTGTGATATAATAAATATTATTTTTATGTAAATATCCATTAGTTTAATGCTGAGAATCGCCAAGTGTCATGGCCACAATAAAAAAAAAGAGTGAAGTAAATTTTCTACGAAGACTAGATTAAATCAAACCCATATATATATATATATATATATATATATATATATATGTATTCTATCACATATTCCAATATATAATTATTTCAACTAAATTATTTATATGTAGAACTCCGGAAAATGTTTGGAACCACTCCGGAAAACATAAATTTCAACAATGAAAATAACATTTATTAATTTTTTTTTAATTCGTGGGGAAAAAGAGCAGTACCTAGGGGTGGCCAATTCGGGTTTCGGTTCGGGTTCGGTTCGGTTATATTCGGGTTCGGTTATTTCGGTTATAGAAAAACTATAACCATTCGGTTTTTATATAAATTTCGGTTCGGTTCGGTTCGGTTATTTTTCGGTTCGGGTTCGGTTCGGTTTTGGTAAAAAGTTCAATTTTTCAAAGAAAATTGTCGGTTATTCGCTCGGTTTTTTCGGTTATTTTTTATTCGGTTCGGTTCGGTTTCGGTTTCGGTTTTTCGGGTTTAAGCAAATCATAACCGTTCGGTTTTGATGTCGGGTTCGGTTCGGATACGGTTATGTCTTATTCGGTTCGGTTCGGTTCGGTTATTCGGTTAATAACCGAAATGGCCACCCCTAGCAGTACCATATCGGCCTGGCCAAGGTGGAGGAGGAGCAGAGAGATGAGTAGACAAGTGATCAAAACCTTGGGTAAATCCATAATTTCAGAAAATAATTATATGATTTTTTTTTTTGTCTATAAGAAAGTTGTGAAATGGTCGTTTTGCTCGGTGGAAGAGAAAGAGGAGGGTCCTCTATTTATAGCCGAAGAAATGGACCCACGTCTTAGATTATTCGTACATGATTTCTTTATAACAATTATTATTATTATTATATATATATATATATATTAAAAAATTGTAGTAGTAATTACGAGGAACGCTAAACAATTGTTTATAATATTCAGTCATGCGTTAATTTTTTTTTTTTTTTTTGTTAACTATGCGTTAAAATTTTGAATCTATTGAAACTATGGCTTACAATTTATTGGAATCGTGATATTTTTTCTATTTGAAAAGGGGGGATGATAAAGATAAATGTGTCGGAAGAGAGATTATTCAATTTATTCTGATTGTATTTTTATTTTGCATGCATTTTTATTACTTTTTTGCGGAATATTTTTAATTACTTTGTTTTTGTTAGGATGGAAATTTGGGGATTGATATATCAGATCAAATTTAATAAATTTTTATTTAATAAATTGTTTAAATTAAAAATCAGGCATATTACGACAAATCTTATTTAACTTTATTTTTATTTTATTTGGGAAGGGTATGCGTGTTTAAAATTATAAAACATCACTTGCTTTTCTATGAACTGTATGACGTTGAACCACAATTTTTTTGTTCTTCTGCCTTTTTAGCCCTCAATCACAATTATTTTAGGATATATATGAAATATGCAAATATATATATATATATATAAACGACAATAAGAATAATGAATTGATTGTAATGGCATAGTTTGTAAGTTTTATATGTAAAAGGGACACTTGGGAGTTTGTGTTCGATGTTTTTATTCATCATCTCTTTTGCCTTGTCATTTTACAGCTTGCACTCATTAACGACTCTTCGCTCTTCGATTATCCCTTTAAATTATTGCCGGAATTTCTAAAACCAGAATAAATCATAAATATGATATATCCAGAAAATTTAAAAGAAATTCTTTGATTATCGATATAATTAAATTTAAATGTGTTAGCTTGAGTAAGTTTTGGATATAGATCTTTAACAAAAAAAAAAAAATCTCTCCTTTTTATTTATTTTTATTTTGGTCAACCTTATCGTTCTCCTCATGCATGATCTATAACAAATTCCTAGGCCAATAAATAATATGTATATATAATGGTAGACAAGTAGAGTAGATAGAAAAAGGAATAAATGTAAAATTGCAAAACGAATATTCATGAAAACATTCACTTAGCGATTAGGGGTGACGTGGAAAATCATAGTACAGTCGTCGTCTTGTCCTATGCATTGTACTTAAATTGGTCAAATCAAATCCTTACTTTTTCTTTCAACCAATCTCGTTAGTTTCTTTCTTTTTTTTTTTTAATTTTTTTAGTGTTACATGAACTATATAACACAATAATACCTTTAGCCACTTAAATTATCAATAACTAGACATATGCTAAAATAGATCAATTAATAAGCATATTGCCCGCATAATACTTAATCTCTCGTGAAAGAGTTTGCCACACAATAGCATAGAAAACAAATACAAAAAAGAAAGGCCGAAAAAAATATAGAGATAATTATTTCATACTCATATGTAAATAAATTAATTAATATTTTTTTGACAAAATTAATTCTAAAAAACATTATGATTTTTCTAAATAAAAAATCTATTTTTTGAAAGCAAACTAAAATCGAAAACCATACGTGATATTCATCCTAATCTCTAAAGTGCAAAAGACTATACAAAAAAGAAAGGCCGAAAAAAATATAGAGATAATTATTTCATACTCATATGTAAATAAATTAATTAATATTTTTTTGACAAAATTAATTCTAAAAAACATTATGATTTTTCTAAATAAAAAATCTATTTTTTGAAAGCAAACTAAAATCGAAAACCATACGTGATATTCATCCTAATCTCTAAAGTGCAAAAGACTATGTTAATGCAATGAAAGAGCATCAAGCGAAGATTCAATATCTAGAAGATCTCAAGCAAAAAGGAAACAGGTCAATGTGAAGAAATGGAAGGAACAACCAGTAAGGGAATGACTTGCAAGAGAAAAAGAAACATGCCATTGAAGAAAAATGGAAAGATCAAGCAAAAGGAATAAAGTCCAAGAAAAAGGAAAAGAAGATATTGAGCAAAATATTGGAAACAAGAAGAGGAGCTATGCATAAATACAAGACGTGGGAGATACAGAAAGGTATCCCAGCAGAACAGAAAAAGAGAGAAAAGAGCAAAGAGCTGGAGAATCATAGGTGTGGGAAACACGGGTGAGTGATACTTGAGAGAGAGTGAAGTGCATCTGAGGGGGAGCCTTCAAAAACAGGCGAACCGCTCAAAGGGCCTAGACGAGTCTAGGGTTACACGGGGTGTGCGAGGCACACATAGTGTATGGGCTGATAGAATTCATGTTGTAAGGGGGGACAAACTCAGGGGGAGTTGTGTTCTT